GATCGGCCTGCTGCATGCTACTATACCTACAGTTGAGGTAGGCCCGAGTGCATGAGTTGGATAAGCTCTAAAGCATTTCTTTTTTCTCCTCCATATTTTTTTTGTCACAATAACTTATGGAGGATATCCATACTAGAGGCACGGACATATTGTTCTGAGCTAATAGCTCCCCAGTACATATATAAAAAAAACTTTCTATTACTATCAAACTAATACCTCATTCACCCGACCATTTACATTTTAACTCCTCATGTTGAGTTTTAGAGTGTCATAGTTTATCTTTGATATTCAGTTTCTACCTTTTTTTTTCTTTTTTTTTCTCTTTTGGTTGGGTTAGATAAGAACTTGAAATGTTGGAGGTGAAACAGATGAAATGAGAGTTATAGATGTACTGTATCTTTTTAAATTAGTACTACCTCCGTTCTAAAAGAATAGTCCACATTGAGTTTTCAAATTTGTACTAAAAACAATACAAAATTCAAAACTTGTGGACTATTTTTGGGGACGGAGGGAGTAATACATAATTGGTTTTATCAATATCTGTATAATCCTATTGTTTATTTTGGTGATTAGATCAATTAATCCTCAACTTGATGATGCAATTTAAAAAATTCAACAAATCGTCATCAGCAGTGGCAACAAGGAAACATTATAATAATCTCCCCAAGAAGAGACAGGATATAACGGATAAACTGCAGTAAACAATGTTCCTATGGCTTGATTCAGTTAACGTTATAATTAAGGATATGGTTACAACATTACTAATAATTATACATGGAACTAATAAATAGTAATTAATTGCTCCAACATAGGGGCCCATGCGTGCTGGTCTCACACGTTTTCAACCCTAAAATAAAATAAACACATTTGAACGTTTGAATCACATTTTTTATCTGTGAGACATGCATGCATCTCTGGTACTATAAATTTGGGCATGTGCTTGAAAATGATGATCAAATAGCTGACAATCTTGGAAATAAATGGTCATGTTATCCTAAAGTCTTACAACTAAAAATGTATCATTGTTGCACTGGGAGAAACAAAAAGGAAAGACCTTGATGAACTAAAATTAATGTTTCTTATCGTATAGTAGAATGCAGTTTAGGTTAAGTTCCCGCAGTCTTTGTTAAGGTGATTCTTGTCTTTTATGATATGAAATGCTCTAAATATTCAGAAACAACTAAGACAATTCATGGTCTGCATTAATATATGTTGAACAAATTTTCTAGTTTCAAGGAAGGGGATGATGATTATAAGTCGTTTAATTAATGTCATTTCTTTTCAACAAATTTGTAGAATTCTTGGTTCAGGAAAACGGAGAACATACTAATTAAACGAATGTGTTAAGCCAAAAGAAAAGAAAATAAAAAAAGGAAATGCATTAATTGAACAGAACTCGTACAACTACAAAGACAAGAAGACCAGTCTTCAAACAATTTCAAGTTCAAACTTATTTTTGCCGCAATAATTTGACGTTTGGCATTGTTACAAAATCAACCCTGTAACATTATAGGCTGACGTACGTCAAGCTCTTCAAGAATTCAACAGCTTCAATAATATGATAACCAAGTAAAATAACATTACTCAAAACACAACTGCTTGGTTTACCAAATGTCATTTTAACAAAATATAAAGAATAACCGTTTAAAAATTATAAGCAGAATTTATTACTCCCCAATTCGTTTACAATTTAATCATTCTCTTATTACTATTTCATTACAATACATATGAAATAAAAGAGAAATTATAAGACACAATATATGCCGCTAATTAAAGAGTTTTAGCTTTTTCCCTATGTCATTGAGATAGTAGTCACTACAAAAAAAAAAAAAAGAGTAGTTTAGACGCTTTTTTGTGTCTCAATAAGTGGTGTAATAGGACACATGTGATTCACATTGCGTGGGACACTACTAAATAATGTCTCCCATAATCGAGTCACAATAAGTCATAAACATTTCAAAGTGTATTATTAGATTGTCACTTATTAAGACACTTTAAAGTGACCCATTAAGTAGGGTAATAGTTCACAATCAACCCCACATAGTACACTTATGATAGTGTTTCATAATATGCATATACTTTTTCATTTTTAATAAGACACTTTTTAGCAAATGTCCTAATACACATATAATGAGACACATTTTAGAAAAAATATCCCACTATAAAGATATTAATAGCCCATTTTTGTTGTAGTGAGTTAACTAGGAAACCTCTAAGTTCATGAGAAACCATGACATAAACAAAAATCAAGTTGTGTTACCTTGTGTTAGAGATGTATAAATAAATGTAATTATATTGTAATTCGATAAGGGTAGATAGGTTTTGTATTGATTTAATACCAAACCCTAAACTCTAACGGGCTTTGTACATTTGTATATATAGCCGCTTTTGCTTAGGTAAATGGATGTGAAGTTACGTTATGCCGATCATTCTTGATTTATGAGTATAGTTACATATATTTACACATACTCGATCCAAACAATACACTCTGGGAACTCGATAAGCAAGCAAGATCAAAATGGTGGTGAAAATATGTACCTCAAGATGGAAAGTTTGTAGGTTATTACCTCCCGTCAGACAAATACAATAGCTAATTTGGGAGGGCGCCGCGCTCTAGAGGTAATTTTTGTCCAAATAATAATTATAAAAACCCTCGATATCTTGGCAAGTTTGTCAATCACTATCGTTAACTTTTCCACTTTTTATTTTTTATCTCCCCCGACTTCTTTCACCTGAGCTCAAATAAATTGAGAAAATGTCACTGACGGTAATTCTGATATTCAAAAATGATTGGTTAATGATGACATCATCACATATCGTTGCGTCATGGCGCATCTCATCTTAAAGTCGTCAAAGGAAAGTGAAAACAGACAACAAGTCATGACAGGTGCAATAAGAAACTAATTAATACAGCTACAACATTTTAATATTCTCCAAAGGAAGAGACATGATGCAACATAGAAAGTGCCTTGATTCAATGTACTGCACTATTACTAATTTGTAGATTAATTAATTACTACTTTGAACTATTGATAATAAATAAATGATTCCTTCAAACCGGGGGCCAATGTGGTTTCACACGTTCTCAGACCAGTCTAAAATAATCACATTTGAACATTTTGATCACGTTTTATTTGTGCGATCTGTAGGTTATAATCTATAAATTGCCCATCTGCTTGAAAAGGATGGATTCAAGATAACTTACACCCAAAAATGTCTCTCTCTCTTTGAGAAAATCTTTGAAATCAATGTTCATGCATGTGATATCCCAAAGCCTTACAGATTAGTACTACTAGCACAAAAGAATTATAGCCATGTTGATATAGTCACCTCCACTCCAATCTAATTGTCCGATATTAATTTGTTGAAATTATTTTTGGAACAAATGGAAGAATTCGTAATTATGTTGGTAAAGGATTAGTTAATCATAGACGATTGTAGTAATAATCTATGTGAAGATCGGCGTTGTTGCTTCTTACAAGAAATCTCAGAATGTTACCAACACGATTTCTGTGCAACGTTGAATTTTCCATTGCACGTACATATGTGTAGCTTCGTTGCAAATTCTTGGTTAGTTAGGGAAATATAGTAAATATTTGAAGACTTTCAACAATGAAAATATTGTTATAGGTGGTCAATTAGAGTACGAGGAAGTTGGTTAAATTCGTTTAAATAATTGAGGGGAAAGCCACGAAAATTCTTAATAAATATACAAGGCTCTTGTTGCAGTTGTCTCTGCCTTTGTGAAATATCCCGTCCTGTGTGAACTATATATGTATAACTAAATTTAGTTGTAAAATTTATGTTTCATAAATATTTATATACATTATTGTTTGTTTGTAGCTCAATCGCTCCTCCAACGGTGTTTTCTTTAAAGAGGCCTTGGAAATTCAAGAGAATTAGGTATTTGTTTGATTCTTGATAGAATCTGAAATGAAGTGTTATCAGAATCATGTGATAAAGTGATTGGATATAAAAAATTAAATCTGAAGTCAGTCAACCAAAAAGGCCAACAAGACCAGTCTTCAACAATTCAAACGTTATTTAGAACTATATTTTGATAGCCTGTAATTACAGAGCCAACCGCCCATGACTTATAGGCTGACATCACTCACAAATTAAACAGCCCTTGGATAACTAATATGGTCACCTTCATCCTTGCACGCGGATGATTAGTGATTAATCCCACGAAATAACTTTTTAATATTGGTTGATGAACCCAAAGTAAAGTAATATTATGATAATTATTTTTTGGGTTAATTAACCAAGCAACATTATTCAGAAGCTACAAGTAGTAGTAGTAATACTAGCTAACTACTTTAGGAATCTTGAATGGTTTTACGATTGATTTTAGCCAACGATTGAATTTATGTATGCCCGGTACTTTTTCAAACTATATTATTTATAATTTGATACATAGTTATTTACAATGTCTTTTTATTTTATTTTTTGTCACAAGCGATAATTATTTTCATTAATTAAGAAAAAACATAAGCAATTGACTTATGTGAACCTATTACGATCAGCTTGAAAAGCATTCTCTAACCACAGAGGTATAGATTTCTTCCACTCTTGGGATTCACAGTTAGAGAGAACCTGATTAACTAAGTTAAGACAAGCAAAATTCCATTATTACAATGTCTTCATCGCTACTATAAATTTTGTATTACCACTTTTATTACAAAACAAAATATAATACAAATGATCTACACTTTTAGACTTTGAAGTAACCAGGGAGTTTTGTTTTCCCGTATGGTATTGAGTTATAGAGGAAGAAACAAATTATAAAAAAAAATTAATGGAGTTGTTTTTCTGTAGTGTACTTGTTAAAAAAATGACTAACAACTAATTACAGTGGAGTTAGTCTCAGAAAACGCATATGTTCATGTGGACAAAAGAACTCGTAGGTTTGGGAAAAAGTTCTGACTTCTGACTGAATTATTCTATTGCACAAGAACCCGCGGTTTTATTTTAGTTTTTTTTTTCTTTTTGGTTTGTTTGGGGGACATTTTATACATTTAATTTACGGGAATCCCTAAGACGGTTTCATGTATAAATACAGTAATAGTAGTACTAGATAGAATGGTCATCATTAGAGTAATTAATCACTTCACTCTCCAATACACTGAATACCTCCCACAAGTCGTCTTCACGTAGCCTTTTCAACTGAAAAATAACCAATCAAAGTAAGATCTAGCTGAAGATTCTGCAACACAATGGTGAGAAGCCCATCTGTTGACAAGAACGGAATGAAGAAAGGTGCGTGGAGCCAAGAAGAAGACAACAGGCTGAAATCCTATGTTCAAAGATATGGCCATTGGAACTGGCGACAACTCCCTAGATTCGCGGGTATGAATGAATTTTTGTAAACTAAAGTGTAGCTGGAGAGCTATAAGATATTGTGGCATCAATGCTTAGGTACTAATATTGGGATTTTGGTGTGTGTGTGTGTGTGTGTGTGTGTGTTTGCCAATTTTCAGGTCTGAATCGGTGTGGCAAAAGTTGCAGATTGAGATGGGAGAATTACCTGAAACCTGGGGTGAAAAGGGGAAATTACACCCCGGAAGAGGATGAACTCATTCTTAAACTGTATCAACAATATGGAACCAAGTATGTTTTCATCAAAACTGATCATAATTTCAACATTTTTTTTCTTCTTCTTCTTTTGGTCTGAGTTTTGAGGCCTTTACATTAAGTTTGAGTACTAAACTGGAAATGTTTTTGCAATAACATTTTTAGATGGTCAGTGATAGCATCAAAATTGCCGGGAAGAACTGACAATGACATCAAGAATCACTGGCACACTCATTTGAGAAGGAAATCAACATTATTGATGCAAGAAGATTCCAAGTCGCCAACTGATGATCATCATCATGAAGATTCCGAAGGATCTTCTTCTTCTTCTTCTTCAATGTCGACTGAATTTACAACAGATTCTATGCAACGGATAGAGCATATGGATCAGACTAATAACAACAATTCCAACAACATTGCTGTCGCTGCTGATCATGTTGGTCATACTAATTACACTGAAGAAGTATCATCATCGTTGAGCTTCGACGAGCCTCTAATGCAATTTGACTGGAGTAATGGTGAAGAATGTATGATGAGCGCTTCAATGGAATCCATCATGAAATACCTTGATGACAATTCCTTCTTGACTAGTCTGCCGTTAGATTTGCCAAATTTGTCCCGCAACAATAATGATATTATTGATCATGATGATCATCAGCAGTTATTCTCCGCTGGGGCTACTACTAATTTAGAGGAAGAAATAATGCGCCCTTATAGCACTCCTACTTTTTTTGATGAGGTTAACATTGATTGCTGGCTGCAGGAGTTGTTGGAATAACTTGACTACAAAATAATCAATCTACCAAAAATTTCATTGGCTCGTCTGTTTCCTCTACTAATATTTTCATTTACTGGCTAAGTTAATTTCTTCGGTGCTTTGATTTTTTTTTTCCTCTATCAATTACGTATATTTTAACTACTTCAACCTTAGTTAGATCGTATTCGTGAAATAGCGTGAACTTTTTAACTCAAATTCAATCCGCCATAATGATACTTACATGTCCACTAAAAAATGACTTGGATTGAATTGAAGTACTTTGAATAGTTAGGGTTTATGCCATTTTAATATCTCATTACGTTAGTTGAGTACCTCGGGTTAGACTTTGATTTAATTAGCTAGGTTTCCTCAAAATTCCAAATAGTGTATGGCAAAAAAAAAAAAAGGATTGGTAATGGGTAAATGTTATACGTAGTCACAAAAAAATCTCTTTATGTAACAAGTAAATTTGGAGATTCTATTTGACTGTGTTAAATACAAAAAAATATCTAGTAAAATAGATTAATTGACTAATTAATTTTTCAGCGGTAGCACATTCACATTCACTTAATAAAATTTACAATACACACATAGGATGTCTTATATATAATTCAAATTTTTTTTTGGGTACATTATTAAAGGCAAGAGCCTAAATCATAACACTAGAACTTTTCTTTTGTAAAACACCAATAATGTCATGCTTTAACCAAGAAATTACTCAACATGAAAGGTAATAAATACAATGTTAAGGAATCACCTACATCAATGGCTGTAAAAGAAACCATAAAATCCGCCATAAAGATATATCTTCTCTAAATTCATATTGTAACACTACTTCCCAGCTCCGATCCATCAGTTCTGAAACAGCTTTAAGACGTTACATTCTTGCTAAAGCTTGATGTTGTATTCTTGCTATAGTTTATCCTAATCATGAACAACATAGCCGAACCGGGCCGACCCCAGATTCCAGGTTAAAAAAAAGTGTAATTGTTGTGCATCTTCAAGTCAACTAAAAAGGGGACAAAAAAACAAAGGAAAAAAAGTAGGAAGAAATCAAGTGGAAGAAGGTGGATGGATGCTGCATTTGCTGGAACGGACAAATGAAATGCACCATTGAACGGATTAATACCCCACCAGTAGTGCATCTGTTTGATTGATTAATTCATTCATTGCACAGATCGAAATAATTAATGCCTATCTGACTTTAACCAATTAATTAATTAAGTGGTCCAACTGGTGGGGTCGGGTGAGGCCAGAACACGGTTTCAGGTTAAATATATAAGTACGTAATCACATTTTGTAACACGTTTTTTTGGTGAGCTATATATATATATGATGACAACTATAAATTGTCATGTGCTTGAAAACGATCTCTTGTAAATTGTCTAAAAGAGATTGAGTGAAGGCGAGAGATCCGATGAATTTTGCAGCAAGGAACTGAAGAACTTCAAATTCATGGAGTTCATTCATGATGTTATATTGATATGAAGGCTTTTATATATATATTTTGACTTGAACCTTTTGGTACGAACTGGAAAAAATCAGCTGGAGAAAGAGGCAAATTAAGCACATAATGTTTATAATTAAACTTGGAGTACTTAACCATATGGCTCTTCCCCCTTTTGAAGAGGAATTCGCATATGCATGTCTTGTAATATTATCACGCATACGTAAAAAATTTGTTATTTTGTGTTTAGGGTTTATATCCTTTGATGATTTAGTTGTGGTAGCAAATTAATTCTGTCGTCGGACCATAAGATTAAACAGAGATTTACATTTTTTAACCATGCTGGCATTCTACATGATTTGTGGTAAACAAACGATCAATCTTTTTTAAACAAAAAAAGAAACCCAAAAAGTTTGAGAAACCAATATAATAAGACAACTAACTAGCTTCATGGTTTTATGCTAATGCTGAATTTTATATCGACACCTTTGATATTTTATTTTATTTTTTTTAAAATTTTTTTTGTGTTTCCAGGAATATAGTCCATATCATTTTATTATTTGTCACGAACAAAATTGTATAGATTCTTCGTAAGTTCTAGGTAAAAGAAAATATAATACTTCCTCTGTCCCAAAATCATTGTCCAGTTTGAGATTTCACTTTTATTACAATTTGAACTAAAAATGAAAACCCAAACTGAACAATAATTATGGGAGGGATGGAGTAGCTTTTTGATGCATTTCGCAAATCAAGTACGTACGAGGAAGTGAAGTTATATTCATTTAAAATGGTTAATGAGAAAGTGAGCTGCAGTATATATCAATATTCTTATAAACAAATTAAGAATAATTAGATTCGAAACTGAAGTCAGTCAACCCTGCACCAGAAGAACCAAAAAAGAGAAGCACAGAGAGCAGTCTTTCAATAATTTCAAACTTTTCTTTTTTTTCACATAATAATGTGACAGTTTGTGATTGTAATTACGAAATCAACCCCGTGACATGTAGGCTGACATCAACCCCAACAGTCTTAATCCAGCTCCAGGATCATTAACATATGGCCCTTGTAATCATTCATGGGACGCGGTTGATTAACACGTACCATCAAATAACACTTTACAAAACCCCCAGTACTTCAATCCGAAATTAAACTAGAGTATTTTGAACATAAAAAAAAATATTATCAAATAAAATATTTGTTAAAAGAGTTTCCATTTTCGAAATAATTTTACTTGACACAAATTTGGACCAGCTAAGACAGTTATAACATGATATGTGTTATGCAAAAAATCATACTTACACTTATAAAAATGATACTACTTCTGTTACGCAAAAAAATAATTCACATTAAATTTTCAGATTTGAACTCATTTTAGTACAAATTCTACTATTCAAAGTGGATTATAATTTTTTTTTTTTTGGACAGAGGGAGTATAAACTACTAATATCTAAAATTAATTCTTCCACCCCACCAGTACGTTTTGTTGCTTCTCATTCCCTCTCTCACTCTAGGAGTAACTAAATCTGTAAATTCATTGGAGGAAACATCTTAGGACATTTCTTCATCCGGACAAAAAACAAAACACGTTTGGGTCAAGTGCTGACTGGTGGGGGTTATTTTATTGCAATAACACGCTGTTTTATTTTTATTACTATATTTTTTATCGTTTAAGTACTACTTTTGTTTTATTGTATCTGGTTCATGTATATATATATATAGAGTAACAACTAACCATCACTTCACTCTACACCAAGACACACAACAAACTCATCTCTTTTCAACAGAAAAGTAATCGGCAAGATCTAATAAGGATACCCAAAAAAATTAATTAGCAATTAACTGAAACAATGGTGAGAGCTCCATTTGTGGACAAGAATGGAATGAAGAAAGGTGCTTGGAGTGAAGAAGAAGACAACAAGCTGAGATCCTATGTTCAAACCTACGGCCATTGGAACTGGCGTCAGCTCCCTAAATTCGCCGGTACGAATTTTATTCAAGAAACTAATTACATAATTGCATATATAGAGAAGATTGTGGCATCAAGCTTAATTGGTTTTTTGTTTCAGGTCTGAATAGATGTGGGAAGAGTTGCAGATTGAGATGGATGAATTACCTGAAACCAGGCGTAAGAAGGGGGAAATATACCCCTCAAGAAGAGCAGCTCATTCTTCAACTACATAAAGAACATGGCAATAAGTAAGTTACAAAATTAATTTGTGTCTCTTCACTCATATTTTTCTCACCATTTTCTGCCTGTTTTCAGGCCTAATTTAGTTCGATCAGTACTAATTGTTTTTCTTTATATGTGTTTCCCCTTTGATCCAGATGGTCAGTGATTGCATCAAAGTTACCAGGAAGAACTGACAATGACATCAAGAATCACTGGCACACTCATTTGGGAAAGAAATCAATTGTATTGATGTCGTCATCTCCAGTTGATCATTACCAAACTTATCAAACATCCCAGAATCTGGATCATGAAGATGATGAAGAATCTTCTTCGGTGTCTACACTTACATTAGAATCTCAAATGATGCAGATTAACAATTATGGCAGCTTTAATAATAACAATATTGCAGCTTCGGTTGATCATAGTTACAGTGAAGTGTCATCATCTTCGAGCTACCAAGATCTTCTTACCCAATTTGACTGGACTGCTGAAGATAGTTTGATCAGTTCCTCATCAGTGGAATCATTTATCCAACACTTTGATGAGAACTCTTTCTGGGAAGATGATCAACCATTTTCCATGGATTCATTCTACAACAACAATCATGTTTTTGATGATCATCATGATGATAAAAGTCAGCAGCAACTCGCAGGTGCTACTTTAGAGGAAGAAATCATGCGCCCATTTGGGACCCCCAGTCTTGATGAGATTAATATTGACTACTGGTTGCACGAGTTGATGGAATAACATATTATCACGGAATAATCAATGAGTCATATATAGTCGGGGAATTAAAAAGAAAACCACAGTTTTGCATCATGATTAATTAGCCAGATTATCAAAAGGCGTTTTTCTGAGGGGATAACTAAACATTTGCGGTGCCTTTTATGTACATACTCCTGTTAGTTTTAGGGTATTACGAACTATTTTAAGGTTGATCTTCTAATGTACTTCGTTATGGCTTCTGCGGTCTGTGAAATGAATAAAAGTGATCGAATCAAGTACACATGAATTTCACTTGATCTCCTCTGTTGTATGAAGCTACTCCTTGAGCATTGTTGTATTTAATTGCTTCTTGGGCTTTAATTTTATCTGATATTAACAACTTAACAAAAATTTCCATTTCATAATTACTTGTTGCAAAAAAAAAAAAAAAAAGTCACTCAAGATGAAGGGTTTCTTCACATCTCTCCCTTGAAACACTTAATTGGTCAATTTCACCTATTACTTACCTTGGCTATAAACTTTACCTAAAAATTTTGTTTTGAATGATCTATGCATAGGTATGAGTTTCAAGCTAATTCCCAAGAAACAATTTTGAGTATATATGGAAAATGAAAGGACAAATAATATGAGGAACCATGTGTATGTATAGTAGTATTACAGTTACATGTTGTCTGATTTCAACATCGTCTTGTTTACTTTCCAATAATGCTTCCGTATCAAAGCTGGTAGATCATCTTGTTCGCCAATGGAAAACCTACCATTTTCAATGCTTCAAAAGCAACTCTTATTCTTCCTCTGCCGATCAGTGAAGCCGATTCAATCCAGGAATATAAAACAATCATGATTCAGAGTTTGGGGATGCTTCAGGGGAATCAGATTGTACGAGTACATTCAAAGTAATTTAGTCTCCCGAAATCAATAACTAATGAATATGGTAAATAAATAGTTCATAAACAAGTCTCAGTTCTTCTCTCTACATGAGAATATGAGATTCTTTGTTTCAACACCTTCTCTTGTGTCTAACAGGAATTTAGTCAATCGACTTACAATAACAACAATTTCTTTTATCACGTTTATACTGATGGGCTAGTCAACAACTATTCAAACTCCCCAATAAGTCAAAGCCCAATGGATTTAGACAAACCTTATCCGCGAATCAATTGTCCGATCGAGTCGGTCAACACAAATACAAAATAATATAAAGTAAGCACTACCAATAAGTTAATTCTAATATTATGTCAATGTAATCTGTACTCTCATTTCAAATCTAATTGACAATGAGTAAGGTAACACGCTAAATGCACTCCGATCCAATCTACCGCTTAAGGGTTGCCCTTTTTGAATTTTTTTTTAAAAAAAATTGGTTTGCTGAGAGATATATAGCCAATGGAAAATCGATCACCTTACCTAGTAATCTGACAAATTTCGCACATCCGAGCTTATGGATGTGAGTTGAAAACGAAGAATGGGAAAATTGAGTTTTTTGGGGGAATTTTTTTTTTTTTTTTCCCTGACTTTGGGGAATTAGGCCTTTATTATGTAACCTTTCATGTCGAAGAGCAGACCTTAGCCCCAATAAAGGAGTGGCCCAGTGATTTGGGCTTTGACATCCAATCTAAAAAATACATGTTCGAACCCCGCTAATAATATTTTCAGTGTTGAGTTTGTGCAAATTTACTTACAGTCGGCAGGACTAGATCGAGGCGTAGACCCTACCTATATGAACATTTTCAGTGTTGAGTTTGTCCAAGTTTACTTACAACCGGCAGAACCAAATCGAGGCGTAAATCCTACCTACATGTAATAGACTTAATACTTATAATTGTGTTAAAAGAAAAAAAAAAAAAAAAACCAGCCTTAGCGACCTCCAAACCCCTGTTTGAACTTCAAGGCGAAAGTCGTACACCATTAATTCTTCTTCTGGTATTTCCCCTAAATATTAATACTTCCGTTTACATTAGAAATGTGTATATGTAATCTGTATCTGCTTGACTTGGAAAAACTGACTAATTGAACTTTCCCAATTCTCACGCATTCACATTCATTTGAAACTTTCTTTTTACACATTGAAAACACACTTGTAAGTCGTACAAAAAGAAGTCTTGTAAGTATATTTCAAGCCCTGACCCGACCCTACTTTCTATTACTCCCTCCGCCTCAAATTAATGCTAATGTCAGGTTTGATTCCTCTCCGTTATCAAGTTCTTATTATGATTAAATTTTACTGTAACAAAGAATACAAATTATATACATGTAAATATTAAAAAAATGACAAATTATGTTCGGAATGAAACTACTATTTGGGATAATCCGAGTATTTCAAGACTTTTGACCATTTTAGTTTGCCTTCATGGACTCATAATTTTCTCTCTCAAAGATTTTATAATTATAAGGGCTTTGATATTCCTATACGGTATTAGTTAGAAATAAGAAACTAAATAAACTCATTGATAGCGAGAGTGGCAGATTCCTTGAGACTTCTGATTTTACATCTCCAACAATGTACATTCTCGAGATGCCTGCGCCATTTATTAAAGAAAATGAAACAGATTAACTCAAGAAACATTGAACTTATTCGATTTTTGGAACAGAAATGATTAATCGTTCCTTCTCCTTAGTTTTCATTTTTTTTTTTTTGGGTCTTTGACCCATAACCTACAAAAACTAAATGAATTCTTGGTATATATACTATTTCTTCCGTCCCCAAAATTAGAGTCATACATGTCAAAGTATTTTAGATAAAAAAGAATACAACACTTTCTTAGAGTAATTTATACTGATCGGCTACATACCAACTTTGTAAGTACATGTTAATTACTAACATTTTTAAGATGCATGTTACTCTTACTTCGTAAGCGAATCAGATGAAGTAATTAATGATATATGTATACTGAAGTCGGAATCATTTTTTTTTTTTTGGTGTAAAAGACGGGTCATCACCAACGCTTTTCCATAGAGAAAATAATGTTTAAAAAATAGTTGCCCCGGAAAAATTGACATGTATTTTAGTCTGAGTGAAATTTATGTTTATAAACCTCCATATATAGAAATGTAAGAGAAAAATAAAATTCAATCATATATTGCATCAATGTGAAAATCAACTATAAGGTCAAAAAATAATTAACCAAAAAGACGACAAAGATAAAAGGAGATAGAACAAAGAATCATATCATATTACTAAAAAGGAAAGAAACAAATCAAGTAAAGAAGCTGAGAGGAGACTACTGAGCTGCCACACGGACAATTAAAGTACACGAATCTTCTGTGGATTATATGTTTGGTTCAATGTACAAATTAAAGTTAAGATCGTACTTCAAACTAATTTAATTAAGCGCTCATGAAACTGGGGTCGGATTGGGTCAACACGTTTCCAACCAAAAATAATTGATCACGTGATGATGATTTGAGCACGTTTAATTTGTTTGTACTCACTGCACTGCAATAAAAATTCGGGCATGTGCTTGAAAAAAGGAACGATTATTATAATTATATGAAGTGGACTTAACTTTTGGCCCTTTAGAAGAAGGCGATGGATTCGACGAAATGCACGTAGTCATCCAAAGCCATGCAACTATCAACTATGCAAGTTATTTTGCATTGGGTAAAATGAATCCATTGAAGAGAATAGATCAATTTTTTTTTTTTTCATATTTCTCGTCACAAAATAAAAAATATATTAATTTATTAATATAAAACAGTATAACCCTTCATCATCTATATTTCCAACTTTCTCATTATTCAGGTTGTTGCGATTTCCTATAAAGAGTTTACACTAAAGTTAGTAAACTTCAACGCTACGAATTCACTTTTTTCCCAACGTTAGGGCGTATTAATTTATTTGAAGATGCTCATGAAATTAGTTAATATAGTTTATTTTAAAATAAGAATAATGTTTGTTGAATTAAAATTAATGAAGATAAAAATGGTTAACGGTGGTATTACATCCTTTAAGTCTGCTCTATAAAAAGTGAGCTCACTGTACTAGTGCACAAGATATAGAAAGTTTCTACTGTACTATACTAGCATAATGCTGTATGAAGTTATGATCAAGTGCAGTATAGTTTTTTTTTGGTAAAGATTTAATTTCATTATCAGAGAAAAACAATTACATACAGACTCTCCAAAAAAATCCAAAAAGAATCATAAATATAACAAAATATGAAAGAAAAAACTATCATATATGTCATCTCCTACTGACAACTAATGGATTAAGGTGTAGTCTATTACACCACAAGATGACCTTGGGGGAGTTTGGGATCCTTTCTATAAAAGCGAATCTAATTTTCAAATGAAAAACAATCTCTTGAATAACTTTCGAGACAACCATAGGCTCATTTTGAAAGATAATCTTATTCCTTGCTCTCCAAATATAATAGACCGAGACACACCAACAAACTTTCTTACCTGCACTTAAAATGTCATTCTTCCATCTTAGAATATGCTGAGTGATAGCATCCCAAGAATATGGAAGATCCCATCCATTAAAATCACAAATCGCTAGCCAAATTTGAGAGGAGAAATGGCATTCAAAGAAGAGGTTTTTAACTGACTCCTCATGTTGATTGCAAAGGACACATAGAATATTGACAGAAGGATTCCATTTGGACACAGTAGTTTTAAGCAAAAGCCGATCCAAACAATATAGCCAAGAAATAAAAGAGACTTTTGGAGGAGTTAACCTGGACCATAGAAGCCTGTACCATCATGGAGAAGGATACACCCTGAAGTCCAAAACATCATAGCATGCCTGAAAAGAATATGGCCTCTCTAGAGCTATCCATATCAAAGATTCATTTGTCACGGATACGCATTTTAATGCGAACTCTTTAAGTACAGTATAGTTACTCCTTTGGCATCCAAATGATTATGCGGGTTATATGTTCATTTTTAATGCAGATAAAAGTTTTATAAAAAAAAATCTAAAATAAATAATTATTTAGAGACAGATGGAGCATCTTAAATGTGTACAATCTAATAAATCTTTTTCTTATTCATTATGAACCACATACTGTATTCTAGTTACTAAAAGTGATTCTATAGGAGGAAAAGAAAAACTTTGAGGCTAAAGATTATCATTTTGGGATAATAGAGTATTAGTTTAAAATTCGTACAAATTCTCTGTCATCTTAAGGTTGATTATCTTGTTTCTAAATGGATTAATAAAAAGAAACAATCATTTTTGTTAAAATAAAGACAGTACAACATATAGACATAACTACTTTAAGGTAAAGAACAAAAGGTTACGAACAGGGAATGCATATAGAAAATCAAGTTGCAGCTACTAAAAATGGGGTTGATAAGCAAGTCATTTTTTTATTTTTATTTTTTTTTAACTCCCTTACACATGATTACTATTTACTATTACGTACGTGACAACATTGTAATCAGTAAAACCTCAATTTAAACAAGTTAGTAAGACTGTAAGCGTTACACTGTGTATCGGTCAATCCAAACTTCCAATTCCAAACCACCTTCAAGAAATCAATATTGGTATTAATTAATTGAATTTGATGACTTCGGGGAAAAGTAGTTTCGTAATAAAAGAACCAAATTAAGTCGTGAATCAGTCATTCAGTGACATATAGGGTGACAACATCAAGAACTATTGCTCGAGGATGTAACCGATCTTGGCCGTCCATCATGGCACGAGGTTAATCGAAATACCCTGAATAAAGAAATTGTCCAAAGGAACATCTCCAGGATGCGTTCATTTCTAGCCGTACAAGTACACAAGATAACTTGAAAGTTCAGACCTTAATATTTTATTAATCCAGGAAAAATATATACCTTCTTCTTTTTTGGATAAATCTTTTACAAATTTATTTGTGGGAGTGGACTTTGTTATATGGTTTTGGTTTTGTATAAATAGAGTAACACTTGGACTAGGGTGTGTGGTCAGGCTATAGCTAGCTACCATACTCTTTCTCTCTCTCTCTCTCCGTTCAATTGACAATTCACCACTTTTTTCCCAGAGAAATCAAAGAAAGAAACTGACCAGCTGTGAAAACAAAAAAAAAAAAAAATGGTGAGAGGACCAACAATTGACGAGAATGGAATGAAAAAAGGAGCATGGAATGAGGAAGAAGACAATAAGCTGAGAACTTATATCCAGAGACATGGAATTTGGAACTGGCGACAGATGCCTAAATATGCTGGTAAGAAGTTTACAATAATTATTAAGAAAACATTTTACATCTTCCCACTCTTCCTCAGTTCCTTGCTCCTCCTTCCAATATTATCTATAAACGCGGTGAACTTGAAATGAATAATAGCAAACTCTAGGTATAGCTTGCCCAGATGGTGATTAGATTCAAATTCATTCGTCTCCCTCCGAATTGTAACTAGAAGGAAAAAAGATAGATCCAAGGAAATAAGTGTTCATGATTTCAGGCTTACAGCCAGTTTTTATATAGTTGACTCTGGATGAAGAGAACTAGGGTTTTTTTTTTTTGGAACAATAGATTTCGCGCATTAGTAAGAAGATCTTGTTGTGTTTCGTCAAATTTTTTCAGGTCTGAATAGATGTGGGAAAAGCTGCAGATTGAGATGGATGAATTACCTGAAACCTGGTGTGAGAAGGGGAAATTATACCCCACAAGAGGAGGAGCTCATTCTTCAATTACATCGCCAATTTGGAAATAGGTTTGTACTATTAATTTGTCTCTTCACTCCTACTTTTTACCATTTCTGTATTTTCAGGCCTAATTAGTTTGATCTCGATACTAATGTTTTTATATGTTTCCTCTCTCAGATGGTCAGTGATTGCATCAAAGTTACCCGGACGAACCGACAATGACATCAAGAACCACTGGAACGCTCATATGAGCAGGAGAACACATTATTCCAATTCAATTGATCAATATGATTCAAGTTATCACACTGAAGGATCTTCTTCAATTACCACAGTTGATTCTACGCAACAACAGTTGGGCAATGTTATGGAGCTCAAGTATCAAAGCAACACTGATGATGCTGTTGTTGATCATGCTAATTATTTCAATGAAACAAGTTTTGGTTCTGAAGGTAGTAGTATGAGTTCATCAATTGAATCAATCATGAGATTCCTTGATGATGGGAGTTCCTTCTTGCCTCCGCATTTAGCCATGCCCATGAATGATATATCCCACAACGATTTTGATGAGAAAATATTCCCTGATATTGGTGATATGATCGTTCCTTCTTATAACAACAGTACCTTTTATCTTGGTGAGATGGTTAGTGTGGACTACGAGTTGCCACCGTTGATGCAATAACACCATGCTTGAATTAGGGTTCATAAGTTTGTAACCCTAATATACAACATGGTCTTATGTATGATACTCTCTTTGTCTACAAAATTTAAAAATTTAATGTAGACTATTTTTTGGGATAGAAATACTACTCTTTTGTGATCATGAGCACACATCTTATGTTGCAGTTTGTAGCTAGGTTAGTTTAATTAGATGTGTGGTTTCCTTAATTTTCTCTTTATGTTTTTTCATGTTATACATGTACCCCCTTGTGCATGCGAGTTATTGAAGAAAAATTGAAGCGAATTTGATTGCCTATCGATCTTTGTTAGTCCGTAGTTGATCAAAAAATCTATAACTTACTGGGGGCGTTTATTCACGCTATGTTATGATTTCTTGTAATTAGGCTTTAGCCACTTTTCTTTGTACTAAAAAAAATTTACTCAAGCATAAGGTAATTTCTTAAAGATTCAAGTAGGGTTTAGTAGATGTCCCTAGAGGTCGATGGAACTACCTAGGGCTTTTGTTGTCTTGACTCCTTTTCTTCAAATTCATCGGCTAGATAGTACTTTCTCCTATCTTATTTACTAACATTAAATTTGTACTTTTAAGTGGAGTCGGAAAAAACTTTGTTCTTTTTTTTTTGTTTTGGTGAAATAAAAACATTGCTCTTTACTTAAACACTGCTCCATACTTAACTAACTTGTACAAAAAAATTTTAAACATGATCCAACACCTCGATTGCAGATCCTATTATAATCTCTCCGAAAGTTTCGAGTGGCCTATCAAATACTACTATTGTTACAATATTGATACACAATAAAGATATGATTCCACAATAAATAATTTCTTAAGATGATCAATCGAAATTAATACTACCAAAGGTTCTGTACGACTCATGATGACGTAAAAGGAGCTATAATGGGCATTATTATTACTGACGTTAATTACTCATATGCCTTTGCTTCAAGATCGGATCCTTCCTAGAAACTTTTAACCTAGCCATAATCACGTGGGTGTAGGGATTTTTCTTGATAATTAAGATTGATGTAAAAGAAAAATTATTCTATGCGCTTTGTGTATCCGATTTTTTTAGTGTGTCAGTCACAATAAAGATAAAAATTAACCATTTTTTTGCTGCCTCCCCGATGATTTTAATCTAACTCTTCCTAAAATTATGAACTCCTCCAAAACTAAATGTTAACATGCTGATGTGACGCAACGGGTGTACTGAAAAAATTTTCGATGTAAAATGGTACCTCGCGGAGAGTTTAAACAACGTAACCTAATTAACTATTAACGAAAAGGCAATATGCAATCTTTCCAAAACTTAATCCTAGTTCATAAACCTTTGTTTAAGAAAACAACTGTTTTATCTCAATCTTTATATCTAATTTGATTTGCACTATTGCAGTGGTTGGAGTAACATTTTAGTGTACGGAGTATTTTTTTTTAAGAGAAGCCAAGAAAATACCTGGTGAAATTTAATAAATAACTATTAAATGTTTACATGAGGCGTTCCCTAAAAAAATTAAAAACCAGGATGTATAAGGAGTATTAAATTAATTACCTTCGAAGTTTATTTATTTTTTCCCCTCAGCTCTTATCCGGAAGTGGAAGCACAATGCCAACATCAATACCATCACCAAACTTGAAAATTAGAGCAAAGCCGCCGAGTACGTCATGCATCTTCTCCTAATATATTCCCTTGTTTTGACTAAATCCTCAACAAGAAATTATTGGAAGTAGTAATATTCCCAACATTTTACCTCTTAAAAGTGGTTCTATAATAAACAGGATAATGAAATTTCCTTGTTCTCATTCATTAATTTCCATGGAACTTTGTAGTTACAAGCTACTTTAGGTCAAGTAGTGCAAATTCTTTTAACTTCCAGCTGATCATCAACCTTTAATAATTCACCTTTTAATCCGAAAATTTCCACGACTAAGTGATAACCCACATAAATCACACACATAAGTCCCATAGAAAGAAATGCTCTGCAGAGGTCTTCTTACATCTCAAGCGTGCATTGAACCCACTTTTAATTTACCTAAAAAACTTTCACTTTTGTCTTCTTTACTTTGAACAACATTAATTTCCTGACCCCAGGAAAGAAAAATCTTTTACCTAAAAATACTAATCATCTGGTAATTATGTTGGATTCATTAAGAAGGTCATAAAAGTTATACACCACATAATTAGTGTTGTCGTTGAAAGAAGCGCGGATATTAGATATTGTTCTGACTGAAATGTACGTAAGTCGTCCCAAAAAAAGAGAATACTACTGATTTTTTACTTGATGTCTCCTTTTTTACGCAAGATGGGTTATGTGATTTACCGTTAAAGTAAATTTATTCAGTTTATTAAATTACTCAAACACTACAGCTAATTCCTTGCCATTCATTTATTCTTTGCTGAGATAAATAAACCTTTTAGGAATCTTCTATATAGGTTGCCCCATAACCATAAACTTGAAAGATTTTTCAGGTTGTAAGTTTGGCTTTGTGGACTTTAACGGTTAGAAGAATATTAATTAATGGCTGGCCTTTTTCCTGTATGTAAATTAGTAGGAAATTTCTCTTCCTAATCCCATTAAGACCGAGAATTGTTGTCGAAATGCTTGAGACTTCAAACTTTTTGTTGTAGTCAGTCCAATTAGACTGATCAGTTCGATCTTCTAATTAAAGCAGTTTACAATTAACATATATAGACTTTCAGAGATCCTATGGTAAGTTTACCTTTCCAACAGCACAAAAGATTACCTCGATCACAAAAGATTACCCAACAACAGTACAGTACAAAAGATTAGTAAACTCGATCTAATCCAATTATATCTCTTTTCTTGAAATTTTATGTAACCCAAATGTAACTCCAACTCTCGCTGACTCTTAGAAATTGAGAACTTCCTTCATAAGCTTTTCATTTTTTTTAAAAAAAAGAAATCTTTATATTGCTAATGTGTTTTATTATCGATGAATTAGTACTTTGTTAATTTATTATCCGATACCTTAATTATTTGGACAAAATAGTTGTGAATTTCCATCTCCAGCTAAGTGCTCTGGATGTCGAACGAAAGGACGCGTTCGAGGGCTTGAGTCTCGTATATCTCAAGCATCGAAGCCATCTTTTTTATTTTCTTTAACATATGTAACTTAGTTACATTTTTTTAAATGGAATGCAGTACGGTATCAGGTGAATTTTCATACTTATTTTTTTAGGTACCTTACTTTTGTGAACTCAGGGAACTAAGAGGTAACACCGACAAATATCATCATGTTCATAATCATGAGCAATCAACTATTTCGACTTAGTATTTCATGATTTTGGAATAATTTAGATTTGTAGTTTCCCTTCTTGGACTTGTAATTTTCTTTGACAGATTATTATATAATTAAGGGGCTTGAAATTTCAATTTTGTATTAGTTAGGACTTCTACTAACCTCGTTGATAGTGAGTGTGTCAAATTCCTCGAGATTTCTAATCTCCAACATCAAATTATGTACGATAGAGATCATGATTCGCAAAGACATAAGCCCTTAATAATTATTATAAAAAAATCAAATTATAAATAACTAATTAAAGAGCATTGAACTTGGCACAAAGAAAGAAATTGTAGTAGTCTCCCAAATCCATACATGCAGACTAACTAGAGGAAATATTTCAGTTAATCGCTTTTTCCCCCCTTCTTTTACCCCAAAACTCACCGAATATAACTGATTTCTTTCATGTATTATCCTACAGCCATTATCACCTTTGTGACAATACTATTTTCTATACATTCTACTTATTGATATCATTTTCTTTTGTTTTGTTCAATTTTGAGTTAGGTAAAAAATTGTTTTAATAATGTAATAACATATTTTGTTTGCTGCTCTTAAAATCTGCCCCCATGTTTGAAAGTTGTCCCGTCCAACAATCAATATAACATCTTTGGTCATCTTATCCATTACCAATCTGTTTTAATTAACACGAATTTTTTTTTAGAGATATATATATATATATATATATATAATATATAGGCATTTCAGCAAGGCACTTTAATTTAATTGCCATGGTAGAAAACATCGGAGATTGATCCGAATTTAAGTTACGATGATATGAAATTTTGGTTGATAGGATTAAGTAACTGAATTCATCTGTCATGATTAAATTTTTCTAATAATTACTTAATAACTTAGGCGAACCATTTTATCGTTTGAAAAGATTGGGCAATGATATACTATATCAGCGCATCATAAGGTTTGAGGTCAAGTAAACACTCACAAAATGCATACCAAAAACCAGAAAAGGACAAAAATACAGAGGCAATCAAGTATATTACTGAAAAGGGAAAGAAAGAAATCAAGTGAAGAAGGTGGAAGGATACTTCTTAATCTGTAACGGAGAAAGTTCTCCAACTATAGTAATTATAGCTCTATGTACAATTATGTGCTTGATTCAATGTACAACTAAAGTTAAAGATTGTATTTGTACTTCAACTAATTAATTAATTAACTATAAGGTCCTCCAATCTGGGCCAGATGATGTAAACACGTTTTCAGACAAAAAATAATAATAATAATAATAATAATAATAAATACTATAATCAACATTCGAACATGTTTTACATTAGTAAAAGATATCAATTTCTTTTAATCTCAAATATGCTTGAAAAGGATCGTTAAATTATTTAAGCCGAATTAATTTTATGGTGCTTTTGTGGGAGTGGGTGAAGGCGATAGATTGCACGAAATATGCCAGGGTCCAAAAGCCTTGTATACGAAGAACATCAATCTGGGATCTCAAAATACATTAAAGAACTAACAAATGGCGCTCATCCCGCGTGTTGATACTATATTAGTTGTGGGATTTTTTTTTTTCCAAAAATTAAATAGATAATTTGATGATATAAGAAGTGGGGAAAAAAGATATCCAGGAAGTGGATGAATATAAAATTTCTTACATCTGAGTTTGTAAGCTCATCTCATTTCACTTAGAGTCCGAGTCAGTTGTAGTTACATCAGTTGTATATACTCCATCTGTTTAACAAGAAATGGTTTACCGTGAATTTTGAAATCTCCACGGTAATTAGTGTAAATTTCAAAATTTAATGTGAAATTTTTTTTGAAACGTAGAGAATGAATGTAATTCTCCAAACTCAAAGAAATGAAAAAACTGTAATCAAAATGTTCATGGAACAAGACAAGACTTAGAACTGTACATCGGTCAATGTCTGCACAAAACCAACCTCACATCAATTGTCCCAAATGGAGAAGAAGGTAGCTTGTAAACTAGAATTAAGTCAATAATATTCAATCCTAGAGTGACATATAGGCTGACATCAACACCTGCGTCATAATACAATTGATCAAGTGTTGAGAATCGATCTCGGCCGTTAATTAATGGCATGAGGATAAACCAATACTAGGAATGAATAAATAAATTGCGCAAGGAAACATCTTATGTCGCTTCATCTGGGCTAGAAAAACATGATTCTTTGAAGTGCTGACCACCGTATTTTATTCATTCTAAACCAATTAACGCGCTACTTTCTGTTTCCTTTTGTTATTTTTTCCCCCCTTCTTGAGTGGCCTTTGTTATATATAAATAGTGTGAGTAAACTTACACAATGGTGTGTGCTTCTCATGTAGCTTTTCACTACTACAACTTCTCTAAGTAAAAAAGAACAAGTGACCATTCAAAACAAAAAAAATGGTGAGAGGACCAACATTTGACGAGAATGGAATGAAAAAAGGAGCATGGAGTGAGGAAGAAGATAATAAGCTGAGAACTTATATCCAGAGACATGGAATTTGGAACTGGCGACAGATGCCTAAATTTGCCGGTAAGAGTTTTTCACATACTTGAGGATTATTAGAACTCTTCCATAGCTCCTCCTTTGTATATGAACTTTTCACTTTCTCCTCTTTTCAATGAATTTGAAATCAGGAAGAAAAAAACCAATAAGAAAGGAATGATTATGTTTGTGATAAAGGGCAAAAAGGGTTTCACTTAGAATCATTTTGATTGTGAAATATTTATTTGAGCTGGAAACTATAACTTCTCCAGATGGTGAAGTTAGCTAGAGGTGCAGCCACAAAAAGAAAATGAAGTATGATAGAAGATGTATATCAGGAAATTAACAACTGTGTTCAAGATTTTAAGTTTGATATAACAAGATTGTGTGTATAAGTTTGTCGAGAATTAGGGTTTTGTAGCTTTGATGGTGGGAATTAATCCTAATTTACTAACAAGATATATAACTAATTTCAGGTCTCAAACGATGCGGGAAAAGTTGCAGATTGAGATGGATGAATTACCTGAAACCAGGCGTACGAAGGGGAAATTACACCCGTGAAGAGGAGGAGCTCATTCTGCGACTCCACCGGAAACATGGCAACAAGTATGTACTAGTACTTGATCGATTTTGGGGTTCCATAGCTAATCTTTTTATGTGGCTTGTAATCGATCAAGTAATAATGTTTTACTGCATTTCAGATGGTCAGTCATTGCAGAAAATTTACCAGGAAGAACTGACAATGATATCAAAAATCACTGGAACGCTCATCTGAGCCGGAATGTACTCATGGTGAAGCAAGAATGTGATAAACCAGCTGATGATCAGGAAACTTATCAAAGATCTCAGTATAATAATTATAATATGGCCGGTGATATATCCTTATATCATCCAAAGGGAGAATCTTCTCCAATATCTACATTGTCATTTGATGCTCATGCACATCAGATAGATCAGATGGAGATTAAGGGTTATGAAGAAGACAGTACTGTTGCTTCTGTTAGTCCAACTTATTATACACAAGCCTCATCGGTCATCTATATCGCTCGATTTGGTATTAAAATTTCAGAATGGAGTTCTGCAGATTTCATGAGTTCAGTGAAACCAACAATGCAACACCTTGATGGCCAGAATTCCCTCCTGACTAATCAACCCGTTGTCACGCCGGATTCAATGCAAGCAATCCCCGCGGAGAAGTTGGAGGAAGACATTATCGGCCCTTTTAACGCCCTTTATATTGATGAAATGATCACTAACAAGGAGTACTGCTTGCCAGAGTTAATGTGATCATAACGCCGCGAAAATATATGCTTCACAATTTTGCAACATTAAGATTTTCTGGTTTATGAGAGTATGTCTTCGGATGTACTGCTTACTAGGCTAGTTTAGTTTTGTAGTGTTTAAGGTTTCCTCTAGGTGTAGTTTGTCATCGTTATGTTATCTGTTTACCTAGCGCATGCATGTGATATAAATAAGATTGAAGCCAAGCGCATCATCACTGGATTTTTGTTTTTAGTTTCCACTGTGAAGTTAATTTTTTGTTTTTTATCTCGAATTTTAAAAATTCGAATTTTATTCACCCATTATTCTTTTTCTTCTCCCCTAAATTCATTCAAATCACCATCAATTTGTTCAAATCTGGCGATTGTAGCAATATGTTTAAACTCGAATTTAGCAAATCTAATTGTAGTGAATTTTCTAGCTAGGCACCAAGGTTTTAGTTTAAATAAATTGTTTCGTGTAAATGACTAAACACAGTATTAGATTTAGACTTTTTTGGAAATAAGTTCCTCTGGTTTTTTTAAAAAATTATTGTTGAAGGTCGGATTTTCCAAATCCAACTTTCGTTTGAACTCGGATTTGCCAAATCCGATTTAAGTCAATATTTTTTTCGCCAAAATACTTAAATTTTTTCTCTTTAAAATATTATTATAATGGTAAAACTTGGATTTGAGAAATCCAAATTTACCTTAATTATGATTAATAAAATTAATTTTTGTAATTAAGAGAGTTTCGGATTTACTGCTTTCCGATTTTAAGCTTAACTCGGATTTAGAAAATCCGAGATCGGTATTTCTGTCCACTCCCACAAAAGAGCAATATTTCTGTCCACTCTCTTTCCAAAACCATTTTTCTGATAAAAACTCTAAGAAATTTCGTTTCGGATTAGTTTTTTATTTTTATTTTTTTTGAAAGTGGTTTCGGATTAGTTAATAGGGCTGTGGTAGCATAACTTCTTTAAATGTAGTGGTCCAACTTGTCAGAAATTAACCTAGGGTTTCACCTCCATGTTTATCTATTCCCATGGAAAGTTGTTATAACTTTAGTTCAATGAATTACAAGTTCTTTAAATTCCAGTTAAATTGACCTGAATTGAGTTCAAAATTTCTACCAATCACGGAAGTCACACATAAAGTAGTGTACTGAATGGAGGTCTTAAATTTACTGTCTCTTATATCTCTCACGGACCGAGAGAACAACAATCACGAAATATAATCATTTAGTGCTGAATCTTTTAGATAATCGTTGTTACTATTTCGGTCTTAAAATAATTATATAATATTTATATTTATTATGTAATTACTTTCTCTTCTTCCTTTTTTTTGTTTGTTTTTTGGTAAACAGTTGACAGCGATCAGCAATAACACGTACAATAGTACTACAATTGATACACCAAAAACGAAAAAGAAAAAAAAAAGACTTTGTATAAAGATTTCCTCATCATGAATCAAATAACTTAACTAAAATAGTCTAAATCGGTACACGGAAAACGAGATGTAAATACGGATCAAGGAGCATAATCATACAACTTTGTGAAGTATTCTCACATAAAGGGACGCTCAAAAGCTATATGAAGGTAAATGCGGATTTGTAACTAATGTAATGTTGTGGCGGAAAGGGTATAAATACAACACACCACGGAAGCGAATCCCAAGAAAATCTCCTTTCCTACTACCAATAAAATAGGACAACCACCCAAACAAGCAACTGATTCAAGAACTGATAAAATAAAGGATGCACGTGAATTTACATGGAAACCCAAATCGGGAAAAACCACGGGACTGTAACAACAGTCAAATCTCCACTATCACAATAATGGGAAAACAGTCTTCACCGACTAGTGGATACACAGGACTTCACCCAAAGGTGGATTACAACAATACTCTTCCACACACACTTATCACAAAGTAGGACTGGAAGAATCTAACCAAAAGAGAGTTAAACCGAAAACTAAACCCTAGCTTTCTTTCTTTTTCTCTCGTACAAAAACGATGCACGGCTGCCCAAATTGTTCTTCTCTCTTGGCTGAAAAATACACATCTAAAAATTATGTCAAAACCTTGCTTTTATAGAGCAAAAAAACCTAAAAAACAAAAAACCCAATTGGAGTGGGTTTTGTTCCTAAAACCAAATTGATTTGGTTTCAATCACTGCTGGGCCCAATTTGAGGGGAACTCGGGCCCAACAATCTCCCCCTTCACCTCAATTGGGGTAAAACCAAACCCGCTTCCTGTCTGCAAAACAGGAGCTTGTCTCTACTCACAGTCTTCGTCAACATGTTGGCACCGTTGTCATCCTTATGGATCTTCTCAAGAAACAACGTCTTGGACTCCAACACATCTCGAATCCAATGATATCTCACATCAATATGTTTTGACCGCGAATGAAATGTGGAATTTTTCGCTAAGTGAATAGCGCTCTGGCTATCACAATACACCACATACCTCTCTTGCTTCATGCCAAGCTCTTGTAGAAACTTCTGCAACCAAAGTGCTTCCTTACAAGATTCAGTAGCTGCGATAAACTCTGCCTCTGTAGTAGACAAAGCAACACATTTCTGCAATCTACTCTACCATGAAACTGCTCCCCCTCCATAAGTCATCAAGTAACCAGAAGTAGACTTCTGACCATCCAGATCATCCGCCATATCAGCATCTGTATATCCATCTAACATGGTCTTCCCATTGCCAAAGCAAAGACTCAATCTGGAAGTACCCCTAAGATACCTGAGAATCCATTTCACAGCATTCCAATGCTCCTTATCAGGATTGGAGAGCAACCGACTAACAACACCAACTGCATGAGCTATGTCTAGCCTTGTGCAAACCATCGCATACATCAGGCTGCCAACTGCCGAAGCATAAGGAACCTTTTTCATCTCTTCCTTATCTTTCTCACTTTTAGGACACTGCGTTTTGCTTAGCTTAAAATGCCCTGCAAGTGGAGTCGAGACTTCCTTAGCACCGCTCATGTTAAATCTATCAAGAACCTTCTCGATATACTTCTCTTGAAATACCCAAAGCTTCCCATTCTGTCAGTCACGAGAAATTTTCATCCCAAGGATCTGTCTAGCCGGACCCAAATCCTTCATCGCAAAGGATTTATTCAACTCCTCTTTCAACCTGGCAATCTTTGCAGTATCATGACCAACAATCAACATGTCATCGACATAAAGCAAAAGAATTATAAAATCACCATCAGAGAATTTCTTCGCAAACACACAATGATCAGATGTAGTCCTTTGGTATCCCTGCCCTATCATAAAGGCATCAAACTTCTTGTACCATTGCCTCGGAGCTTGCTTCAACCCATACAAGCTTTTCTTGAGACGACATACAAGCTTTTCTTTCCCCTTCTCCTGGAACCCATCTGGTTGCTCCATCTAAATCTCTTCTTCCAAATCACCATGCAGGAAGGCTGTCTACACATCAAGCTGTTCAATCTCAAGATTCAAACTGGCTGCTATCCCAAGAACAACTCGGATCGAAGACATCTTTACAACAGGAGAGAATATCTCATCAAAGTCTACGCCCTTTCTCTGATTGAATCCCTTCACAACCAATCTGGCTTTGTACCTCGGTTGTGAGCTGTTCTCACTTGTTTTTAGTCTAAACACCCATTTATTCTTGAGTGCTCTCTTGCCCTTAGGCAGCTTCACCAAGTCATACGTGTTATTCTCATGCAAGGATTTGATCTCATCTTGCATGGCTGCTAACCACTGATCTTTCTGCTGATGACTAAGAACCTCTTCATACGACTCTGGCTCTCCCCCATCAATAAGCAACAAATACTCATGAGCACTGTACTTGGTGGAAGATCTCTTGTCTCTGGTGGACCTCGTAGGCTGAACAGGTGGTGATGAAACCGGTGGTGTCTCTGTTTCATTAGCAGGATCATCATCAAACTCACCATCTTGCTCTGTCTCAGCTCCCCCTTCAGAAGAATCATCTGATTGTGGAGGAACTGAATCTAAATCAACAGGAATTTCAGGTGAAGATTCTGGTTTCTCGCCTTTTCCCATATCATCAATGGTCTGGTCTTCAAAGAAGATCACATCTTTGCTTCTGAAAACTTTCTTCTCTACAGGATCCCAAAGTCTGTACCCAAAATCATCATTTCCATACCCCAAGAATACACACTGCTCAGATTTGCCATCAAGCTTCGACCTTTCATCTTTGGGAATATGAACAACGGCACGACAACCAAAAACTCGCAAGCCTAAATGAGACATCTTTCCCTGTCCAAACTCGTTGTGGTAGATCACCATCCAACGGAACTGAGGGAGATAGGTTGATCAAATCAACTGCTATCTGCATGGCTTCACCCCAAAAAGATTTAGGCAGCTTTGCATTCGAGAGCATACACCTAACCTTTTTGGTAATAGTTCTGTTCATTCTTTCTGCCACGCCATTCTGCTGCGGAGTCTTCGGAACACTCTTCTGAAGTTTAATGCCATGGTCTCGGCAATACTTCTCAAACGGACCCCTGTACTCACCACCATTATCTGCTCAAACACACTTCAACTTCTTGCCAGTCTCTCGTTCAACTCTAAGGTGAAAGTCTTTGAACACATCTAATACCTGGTCTTTAGATTTCAAAGAAAAACATCAAACCTTTCGAGCATAGTCATCAATGAAGGTAACAAAGTACAATGCTCCACCCAACGACCTATCTTTCATGTAACATACATCTGTATGAACTAACTTTAGAGGACTGGACTTCCTAGATGGAGGAGAATTTTGAAAGGAAACCCTATGTTGTTTACCATAGATGCAGTCAACACAAAGTTCTAGAGCAGTACCTTTCACCTCTGGGAGAAATTGCTTTTTACCAAGAATCTGCAACCCCTTAACACTCATGTGTCCAAGCCTTCTGTGCCAGAGATCAATGGAGGCATTATGAGTTGCATTCACCTCTCCATTCTTCAACTTTGCATTCAGCACATACAAAGAATTCAACTTCTTTCCTCTAGCAATAACCAGATTCCCTCTGGTAATTGTCCAACGGCCACCAACTTCAGTGCTATGATAACCCTCATCATCAAGTTTACCAACGGAAATAAGGTTCAGACGCATATCCGGAACATGTCTGACATTCTTCAAGACAAGAGTACAACCTGTATTCGTTACCAATGATACCTCTCCCATGCCGACAACATCGCATGAGGCTTGGTTGCCCATTCTTACACGACCAAAATGTCCAGGTGTGTAAGAGGTAAAGAAGTGTCTGTGAGGCGTCACATGATAAGACGCACCTGAATCACCGAACCAATCACTGTCGTGACTCGCAACATTAATTGTAT